CACAGGGGACATAGCGTGTATGGTCACCTAACACTGTTTACACCTCCTTGTTTTGTTTTGAGCTATTTGGGGCTTTCCAACTTAATAACCAAATAAGACATAGCTGAGCAAGTAGTTTTGGAGATAAGAATGTTAAAAAATGATGGGCAAATTTCTTCAGCAGCCAAGAGAGACTGGCTAGGCTGAGAGAGAGGTTTAGACGTGCCCCCAGGGTGGGAGATGTGCCTCGTCTTTGAGAGGAAGATCATCAGGAACAAAATGACGAAAGCATGTAGTAAGTTTCCGTTAAGCAGTGGGAATCAGTGGCTTTGGAAAGTTGAATTGAAGTTAGATGGTAGATGTCATAGGTATAAAGTACCTTTGAAAAATGACAGGAATACTGAAAAAAAAAATAAAAAGAAGCCTCGCAGGGCAATCTGGACATTGCCATAGACAGTGAGAAGGTTTTATTCAAGAACATAAGACATAGAGTTTTATCTTTTATCAAAGTTTCTACTGATGGAAATCCATTTTGTTTGCTGAATTCAGCCAGGTCAAAATTCACACTGAGGTTCTTTTTAATGTCTTAGATTTTTCTGAGGTTCTTTAAAAAAACATTTAAAAAATGTTTGGTTCAGAGATTCAGAGATTTGACAAATTCATGAAAAGACATCTGTGAATTTAAAAATATTTTTGACGGCTTCTGTTGCCTTAACTAGTGTTGGTAAATTAATGATATTTGAAAGAAATTCTATTTCCCCCAATGTAGTACAAGAAAAAGATCCCATCCATTTTAACTATTCTGAAGAAAGTTTTAAAATGACATTTATCCTACCTTTTGATCAATTTTTTAGAAGTTTGCTATCAGCATGTAAGTTACATGACTTTCGATACTAGGAGAAACTGAAGACAATGCACCACTGGAGAATTACTCTAGACTAACCATCATTTTGACAGGTAATAGCTTTCTACAATAAATTATGGTTATATGGTGCTATAAAACATAGCAAACTGAATGAATAAGCAAATGATGAGCACTTTCCAACTGAAAGAGCTCTATTAATTTTACTTGATAATTATTTAGTTTTATGAGTAGACTCTTTTGCTATTATAAACTTTTAAAAGAACAATCACCAAATCTCGAATTCTGGAAGTTATAAAATGCTTGGTTAAAGAATGTCTGAGCAATTATTTGCACAGTAAGTTCATTCTGACACTGTAATGTGCATCAGAATCAACCTGGAGGTCTATAAAATTCAGGATCCCAGGCTTTTACAAAGGGATATTCTAATTCAAAAGATCTGGGATAGAACCCAAGACCAGGTATCTTCTATTGTGTAACCAATTAACCGTAAATTTATGAGTTTAAAACAACACTAATTTATCATCTGAATTTCTATTGGTTGGAAGTCTGGGCGTGGCTTACCTGGGCGTGGCTTAGTTCAAGGTCTCTAAGTGCTGAAGTTAATATGTATCTGCAGAGCTGCGTTCTCATTTGGAGGAACTGCTTCCAAGGTCATTCAGGTGACTGGCAGTATTCATTTCCTTGCTCATGTATGCTGGGGGCCTTGGGTTTCTACTGGGCATCCTCTGGAGACTGCCCTCAGGTCATGGGGTCACCTAGAAGTTCTCCTGCCCAGGAGGCAGCTCAGAACAGGGCAGTTTGCATCCTTAAGCCAGCAGGAGAGTCTCCTTGACCTCAGGGAGAGCTAAGTCTTTCTTTTAAAGACTTTTGCTTTATTAAATCAGGCCCACCCAAAGTGGTCTCCCATTTTATTAACTCAAAATCAATTGATTTGAGATGTTAACTGTAAAAAATCCTTTCATCTTTGCCTTATAGTATAACCTAATCACAGGAGCAGAAACCCCATTCTTTTTCACAGTGCTGTCCACACTCAAGGAGAGGAGATTACAGGAAGCACGAAGGGCAGGTGGCAGGAATTTGGGGGCCCTTAGAATTCTGCCTACCAGGACCACTCTTCCTGAAGCTCAGGTATAGAAAGAGAAATCAGACTTGAAGGAACCTTCGTGGTGAGACTGGGCTCATAGAGCTAGACTCATAGATCTGATTGGTACTTACAGTAAAATAAAAATGCATGCTAAGGGACTTATGTGCGAAGGGTCTGTGAGGAAACAAGAACAGGAAGTGGGAGATCTGGGCCCATGTGAAGACTGGGCCTTAGGTCTCTTTTCCCACCTTTTTGCTAATTAGGGAACTTTTGTCATTTTTCCTTTGAAAATTAAATGCTCTGTAAGAAAAAATTCTAACTTTAGTTGTGATTTTATCATTTTCATGGACTATCTGCTGGAAATGGCCTCAGAAATGTTCTATTAATTCCTACTCCTTGTAAAAAGTAGTTACTATCTTGATTTTTATTTATTTTTTTCATTAAAAACCATAACTTTCTAGGGAAATTTATAAAATCTGACACCAGAAGAAATAGAAAATCTGAACAAATCAATTGTCATAGAATAGAAAGAGTGAGCTGAGGGTGGTGGCACATGCCTGTAGTCCCAGCTACTTGGAAGGCAGATGCAGGAGGATCACAAATTTGAGGACAACCTGAGGAACTTAATGAGCTCTGTTTCCAAATAAAATCAAAAGGGCTGGGGATGTAGCCCAATGGTAGAGCACTTGCCTAGCATGTGTGATGCTCTGGGTTTAATCCCCAGTATTGAGAAAAAGAAAGAAAGGAAATAGAAAATGTGTGAATTACTTCTTAAAAAGTAATAGGAAGATCATTTTGCAGGAGCATTTATCAACTCAAAGAAATAGATGTTTCCAGCAGTGTTTATATCAGCCTGTTTTCTGTTACTATAACAAACATCTGAGGCCAGGTACATTATAAATAAAAGACATTTATTGAACTCACAGTTCTTGAAGTTCAAGTGCATGGTTCCAGCTTCTGCATGGCTCTGGTGAAGACCTCATGACTGATGGTACCACAGTGGCAAGAGCACGTATGAGATGGATAGATCACATCATCACACAGGAAGTCAAAGAGGCCAGGGAGGGGTCAAGCTCCCTCTTTCATAACAACCCTCTTGAGAGAAATAACCAGGGTCCCCTGAGAACTATTTAATTCCTTCTGAGGGTCCCAATGACCTCCCACTAGACCCCACCTCTTAAAAGTTCTACCACCTCTTAACATCACCACACTGGGGACAAGCTTTTGACACATGAATCCTTGGGGACAAACCTTATCCAAAGCACAGAGCAAAGGAAAAAAGGATGCTTCCTAAGATTAATAGTATTGTTCAAAGCCAAAAAAGACTGACTCTAAAATGAAATGTTGAACAATCTAATTTATGCAAAAGTCCTAAACAAAATAGAAATAAAATATCCATAGAATAGTATATATAGTATATATAGTGTATATGCCATCCTCCTGCCTCAGCCTCCAGAGTCTCTGGGATTACAGGTGTGCACCATCACATCTGGCTCTTTCAAGATATATTATTAAGTGTTTGTATGTATACCTACATATATGTGTGTGTATATATATATATATATATATATATACATACACATACATACACATACACACACATATAAATATAGTAGGTATATTCTATATACTATATATATAGTAGTATATATATACACATATACACACACATCTATATAGTAGGTTGCTAATTATTTTAAAAAGGAGTATAAATTTATATATGTGTGTGTATGTACACAAGTTCATGCACACACATACTAGCAACCTTGCTTGCCTGTGGCAGATGAAGGGAAGACAAGAAGAACTATGTGGTGGGATAGAAATGATTGTCTAGGAGACTAGGGATGAGGGAGACAGTTTATTGAATATCTCTTCATAGTTTTTAGATTTTGAATCATGGGAATGTGTTCCTTATTCAGAAAATTAATCCCCCAAATAAAGTTTTTATTATTAAAATAAATTTTCTAGTTAAAAGAAAAATTTCTGGGAGAATATTCTGCAGTATTTCTGTTTGGGTGACCAGTGCCAGTGTTTAATCATCTCCGTGGACAAGAGGCATCATGCTCTTGAATGCTCAAAAATTCTCTTTTGATTTCTCCTCAGAAATCAAAGAAGCAATTACACTAATTTTTTTTTGAACCATTGTCACCTCATTTCCACCCGAGTTCAGGGTTTTGCATCAAAAGTAGAGATGTCAGCTGGGTGTGGGCCCTACCTGTAATCCCAGGTAACAAGGATGCTGAAGCAGGAGGATCTCAAGTTTGAGGCCAGACTGGGCAATCTAGGGAGACCGTGTATCAAAGTAAAATAAAAATTAAAGAGGGCCAGGAATGTAACTCAGTGGTGGAGCACCCCTTGTTTTGATCCCCAGTCTCTCTCTCTCACACATAAAAGGTAGATATGTCTATCAAGCAAAAACCACATGTATTCTATAGAACTCAAGTTTGAATATAGAAACTAGAATCAGGACCCCAGATCCTAGGAAAATGAAAGAGATGCCACAATGTAGGACATGGATGTTCATTTCCTAACTTGAAGTCAACTGAAGAAAATATTAGAAGAATAAAGAATTTTATAGAGTTACGTAGTCATAAAGCATGAAGACAGATTAGAATTCATTTAATTTGTAACTGTGCTTCTTAAAATTGTCCCTAAAATTGAAGACATTATTCATATTCTCCATAGGTGCATATTTCAACAATGTGATAGGACAAACTAAGATGGTTTTTCTTGCTACTTAACATTGTGCTCTAAAAGCTTTTTCTGCACTGCTTCTCCTTAACTAGGCTTCACATCTTGTGCCAAAGAAATGGAGTGAGAAGGTGAGGGAAAGAATGAAGGACCGAAACAGAGTTGAGACAAATGGGTTGAAGATGTTAGAGTTATAGGCAGGAAATTTAGTGGGTGGTGGAAATTACCAAATCCTCTTTAGATATTGGGCAGGATTCTCTTCCTGCATTTCCTACATTAGAGTATATCTAATATAGATATCTTCTCTACATTAGTCACATGTGTCTCTTTTTGCATTGCTGTTGACTAAATATAGAATAATAAGCTCTCCTTAAATAATAGAGTCCACACCGGGGCTGTCCTTGGCTCAGATAGAGGAAGTGCTCCCCCCAATACCAGAACTGGAAACTACTTCTGCAGTTCATCGAGATCAATACACATGGTGAGTGATGATTCGGCTTCATTGACTGTTTAGCTTGTTCATTATAAACATGAACAGATTTAAGGAGGTGCAGTTTAACCTAAAGTATGTTTCGATCTGGTTGTAGGACGTAGAAAGTGATGATCTTGCAAAGTCAGTCTGTATGAATTAGATGATATGCACTCAAATCACTATTTTCTAGGAAAGGATCTAGGAAGGATCAGTAAACTAATCTTGCAGTCTATTAAACTAATCTCTTAGTCTGCTCCTGAGATGTCAGCTCCATCCCTTGGCACTGTTTTTCCTGGAGTTAAGCCATACTTCAGTCTCAGCATGAGAAAAAAGAAAAGGAGATTTGCAAAGCAGAATCCCCACCCTCCAATTACTGAAATAAGAAACTTCTTTAAATGTAACATTGGATAATATAGATGACTGCACATAGATTTCCATGTTTATAATCTAAAACTGTGATCAGAAGTGCCTTAGAAACTTTTTTCATTCATTCAACAAATATATATATAATAGATATATATAATTCATAATATATACAATACATAATATATAATATATACATAATATATATACACATTTTAGATACATATGTATTTTGGGTACTGGGGATTTAACCTAGGAGCACTTTACAACTGAGCTACATTCCCAGCCCTTTTATTTGTTTTAAATTTTGAGAAAAGGTCTCATTAAGTTGTTAGGGCCTCCCTGAGTTGCTGAAGCTGAACTTGAACTTGCAATCCTCCTGTCTCAGCCTCAGGATCCATTAGGATTACAGACATATGTCACCATACTTGGCCTCATTCAACAAATATTTATAAAGTAAAAATATTTATTAAGTAGTTACTATGTTAAAGGCATTCTATAACCAATGTAGTAGAAAAAAAATATAACAAGGAAGAGGGAGTGTATTAGTCAGCTTTTCATTGCTGTGATGAAATACTGGAGACAATAACTTAAAAAAGGAAAGGTTTATTTTGGCTCATGGTTTCGGAGGTTTCAGTTGGTCATTTGGCTCCATTGCTTTGGGTCTGTGGTGAGGCAGAACATAATATCGTGGTGGGGAGCATGTGGCAGAGCAAAGCTCTTCATCTCATGGTGGCCAGGAAGCAGAGAGAGAGGGAGAAAGGGAGAAAAGGAGGGAGGGAAAGAGAGAAGGAGGGAGGGAAGGAGAGGGAGAGAGAGAGAGAGAGAGAGAGAGAGAGAGAGAGAGAAGGAGAAGAAGAAGAAGAAGAGGAGGAGGAGGAAGAGGAGGAGGAGGAGGAGGAGGGGGGGGGGACAACTGGGGTCCTAATATCTTCTTCAAGGGCACACCCCCAATGACCTAACTTCCTTCCACTAGGCCCCCCCTCCTAAAGCCCCCCCTCCCACCCAACCCAGTAGCATCACAGGCTGGTAAGCAAGCCTTCAACCCACAGTCTTTGGGAGACATTTAAGATCCAAACCGGAACAGGAGGGAAACTAGAATTTATGAGTTCCTTCTTACTGTGTTATATACTCTTCATAATACTTGAGTTGTTGTCAGTAAAGGTCCTAAAAGGAAACTGGTATTATATCCAAATTGAGTTTGATCCTGTTAATCAGAATATGAGAAGGCCAAGTTGGGGGTCAGCACCTTGGCTCTAGTGACAGTGAGGTGCTACTACTGTCCTTAAGGCCAAAGGGGCAAGGAGCTCAGAGAGACAGAGACACACAATCACACACAGAACGTGGGGAGAGCAGTCTGAATGAGTGTGATCTGGCAGAGGATGCTATAGCCCGTGGTTGCCCAGGAGAGAGAATTAAATACTCCTGCTCTGCTGGACTGGGTTCCTACCCTCCACTGGCCACACTCAACTGGGGCCATTTGGCACTGGACTTGGTTCAGACAGTTCATAGAGGCTGGCCTCAGGGGCACCAGGCAGAGTGGATGTAAGTAGAGAGCAGATTTGTAGAGACAACCAAAGGACCCTGCACAGCCAGCTCCACAGTCCAACCAGCCACCAAGTACCCAGGATGTCCTGTTCAGGACAAAAGAGAGGCAGGGCTTAGTGCTTGGGTCTTGATGCAGTCAGGGTCTGCTGTTGGCTCAGAAATTCCCAGATAGAATCTAGAATAGCCATATGATGTGTCAAGGAAGTATTGTGGGACATGATGCTTGATGCCCCTTGCTCTGGGCTGCTCAGTCTTGCAGATGAGAGCTCCTTTTTGGCCGTTCACCAAGTGCCTCTTTATTACCTGCTGTGTCAAAAATTCTTCTACTCATTGGCAAAAGTAACAAGGCTGTGAGTGGAGAAATCAGAGTAGGGAACCTCTAATTCCAACAAACAGTGTCAAGCTATTTGATAGGGCTGTTCTCAGGGGCAGAAGAGAGCATAATAGAGACCCCACACTCAGGGGACACGATGCCTCACATTTATTAAACTTTCCATAAAAATCTGTTGGGTGAAAGAATGAATCTCAACTTCTGTCTCTACTAGAATCATGGAATGTTGTTATTTAAAGAAACTTGCACCAACATTTTCATTTAATAGATGGAGAGGGAAAGACCAAGGTACTATGGTAGCAGAAGCTCGGGAGACCCTAGGTTTCTTCTGTCCCAGGGGCAGAAGTTTTAGTTCTACCCACACAGTCTTCTTAGGGATATAATGGGGGCTCCATTGCATAAGGGGAGTGGAAATTGTCTTGAGGAAGTTTTTTGGTGTTCTTATAAATGATTTAAAATAGTTTCCTACCAATTCTAATTTAGGGAATACTTAACAAACTTTTTGTGTTAATAACATTTTTTTTCCTTTTTTTTTTTTTTTAAATCTTCAGATTATCCCTGAGCAAATTGGACTGAACCCTATTGAAGAATGCTTATAATTTTATTTTGGGAATGAGTAGGTTGGTAAATGTTTGGGTCCAGCTGAGGCTAACAATAGGAAAGCCGTGGGAATCAGACTTCTTGATGGGAAGTAGCTCAGAGCTTTCATCTGACCCAAGAGATCAAGGGAATGAGCCTGTTTTCAAGGAAGCAGCATGAGTCATGGAAAACCCATTTCCGGTGAAACCCACGGAAAGAACAGGAGAACACTTAACTCTTATTTTCATCCATCACTACAGTGGACCCAAGGTTTTAATTTTGACCAAGAATGGTCAAGGATGAAAGTCCTTTCTCTCATTGCAGATTCTGACTGGGTGACTTTTTTCCTATACCAAAGATTGTTTAGTATTTGGCAAATTGCTTAGGAGGGCCTGGGCTATTTGCTTATACATTTGTTTGCATTTATTAATCTTGCCTCCTTTTGGCACTAGAATGTTTTAAAAACATTTCACAGATACCAAAATAAAATGATTTAAATGAAATGCTTGGGTATTTAAGTTTAATAGCAAAGTGTTTTTCGTGTCATTCTGTGGCTTTCATATTTGTGACAGCCTTCCTGGATGTCAAGAATAATGGTAGTTATTAATTATAATAAAAAGCACATATAGGCAAGGGGACAGCTCTTAATGTTGAAAAACAACCAAAATATTTTCCTAGAGTTTACATGTCATCTTCCGAAATCATCATATGATTAAGATTGCTTATCTGAGTAGACAGGCAGAGTTTAATTACAGGGTCAGACTTAATATTAAGTGATGGGTAATAATAATTACCATTATGTAATTATTAACATTATGTCCTTAGTATTGATATTAAGGACATGCTACCTTAAAATATGGCACTGGAATATTTTAAATAGAATGACTTTGAACAAACAGCAGAAGGAGGAAGGTCACTCTGCTCTTCCCCTACCACCTTTCTTCCCTGAAGCAGACAATAAAATCTTTTCTGACCTTCCTCTGAAACAGATCACAAGATCCCTGTGTGAGAGGCGCCCTCCCTCTGTGGGAGCAAGGAGCATTCTTGTTTCCAAAGACTTGGGCCACAGAAGAGTGTGAACAGACAGGCCTGGCAGAGTTCCCCAGTGTATCATCATTCGAGCATACGATTTCTGCTCTATCATATTTTACTCTCCATTCTTCATCAAAACTAGAAAAAAAAAAACCCTTGGGTTTAACTTATTCTGTAGGTCCTCATTTCCTTTTGATGTCTCTCATACTATATAAATAAAACAAATTAGTATTTTTTTCTCTTACTAATCTTTTGTTATAGAGGCCTCATCTGTGATCTTACCAGGGTAGATGAAAAGATATTTTTTTTCCCCTTAGACAAGCAGCCTCAATAGGAATGAATGTGCCAGCACAGAGGGGTTTTTCTGTTTTTTTTTTTTTTTTTCTGTCTCTCTCCCTCCCTCCCTGCCTCTCTCTCTCTTTCTTTCTTTTATTTATTGCTAGGTCACAAGCTGAAATTTTAATTGTAAAATTTAGAAACTGAAAATTTGGCTAATGGAATGCTGCTAGTCTTACTTTTTCTTGTCTTCACATCCCTAATTAATAGGTGAGTCAGCTCGGGTCTGAGAATTTTTCGGCAGGAGTTAGGGGTGTCGCACTCTATGAGGTATGGATATTATACCATTTCTGAAAAGCCAAATTATTGTTTCCCGGCACATCACCTATTATGTTCTGACAAATGACTTGGAAATCAGTGGGAACTTGGCTTACAAAAGGCATAAATTAAGTTCAAGTTCTGTTAAGTTGTGGCAGCTTTTAGGAAGCTAATTTCACTTATTTATTAAAACGGAAGACTTTAAAAGATGCTGGGAACCTCAAAAAGACCTAGATGGCCAGCTCTCTGACCACCAAGGGCTTAGGAGCTGGCAGAGGGGACAGGACAGGCGCACCACCTGCTAAGATACAAGACACATAGAGTGAGGTAAGTGTCATTTACAAGATGCTGGCCTCCTGCTGAGGATTTCATCCCAATCACTCTTCTCCTACCTGTTTTTTCAATCATGCTGTGGTCACTAATCCATGCCGTCTCCCTCTGTGGACTTGAAGTTGCATGAGTGGTCCTCCTCCCTGTGGCATCCTTGGCAGCTGGGATGCTGTTTGGCTCACAGTCGGTTCTTTACCAACACTGGCTAGATGAAGAACCCATCGAGGGAGCCCCCACTACATACCAGGTGTATGTAGCAGGTATGCTCTTGTTTCTTCCTCACAGTGACAACTCGAGACAGGTGTCACTCTCCCTGAGAAAGCTGAGGCCAAAGGAAGTTCACCAATTTGCTTACTGTCTCAAGGCTACTGCGTGATGGCATCCCAGGTCTGTCTGGCTGCCCTGCTCCCTCTTGGGGCTCTGTGGCATGGAGGCGGGCATTGGAATAGGAGGTGGTGAGGTGCCCGAGGAAGGGCTGCAGTCAGAGCAATGTCAGGGCTTTCTCCTGGGAGTGCAGGGAGGCTGGGCTGAAGGCACCTTGAAGACTTCTCCCTGGGATTGGTGCTTGGACACTGGTCCTGGGTGTCCTTTCGTCTGGTAGTTCTGATCCCATCTCCCTCCGATTGGTCCCAGTTAAAAAAGAACCTGTGGTCCTTGGTGCCTGGCATGACTCATGATTTCCTATCTACACTGCTGACCCTGGCTTTTAAAATGTCTTGCTGTTCAACTGGTTCAAGTCGGACTTTATCCACCCCAGGTCCCCTCCCAATGACTTCTTGACCCATGTCAGCTATGAACCTATTCTCGTCTCCTTGGGCGCTGGCTCTGTTAGCAGCCAGGACCTCAGCCCTCTATTTAAAGAATTCAGGAGCAGGTTGAGAGTGGAGAGAAGAAACAAGGCACCGTGCCAGGAGGCTGCCACAGTCGCTGAATCGTTGAGCCGTCACAGTGGAATCAGAGTAGCGGAAAAAGGGATGGATGGAGAAGAGGGCTGTGGAGGCAGGGTTGGCTGTGTGTGGCAAATGGTGCATGCCGGGGCAGCAGTCAGGTGGGCGGGGAAAGGAGGGGGAAGAGACCTACATGGCAAACTTCCAGACTTCTGCCTGCAGAAAATAACATCATCCAAACGTAAAGCTGCAAGTTTTGGTTTCTATAAGGATTTTCACTTTTCTGAGGATTTCCTCCAACCTCTGTCCTCCTAGCTTTAAGTTCAACTTTCTCTTCTTCTATACTTAGAAACCCTTGAATGGAGCCTGCAAAACACCTTTTCTTCCCTGCCTTTCCTCTGCTTGTTACCTGTGCCCTTTCCTTCCAGCTTTCAAAATCCTCTGTACTGTTCCACCCAGTGTCTTTTAAATACTGCCTCTTGTTGTGTGTGTGTTTCCCTAGAGTGTAGTCCTCCTACAGTGTTTCTTATGTCCTGCTTGTACCACAGCTAATTGTCTTCATGTCTGTCTTCTCCCCACCCCAGACTGTGAGTGACATAGGGACAGCATCTCCAATCTGTGCATCCCCAGTGACAGGCATTCACCTCTTCCCAACCTGCTCCTCCCTTGCAATATTCTTCTTGATTAATGACAGATGTTGCTTGTAAATTCAGCAGGTGGTTACTTATAAGGGGATGGAATTGGCAACCCACATACCAGGGCCTTCTAGCACAATGATAATTTTTGTTTTTTATAAAATTGGTGGTGGGTACTATACATATTCATTGTATAATGATTCTGTATAGTTTGCATATATTTTAAACTATTCTTTTGTACCTACTTGTATTAGTCCATTATAACAAAATACTAGACTCAGTACTTTATTAGAAAAGAGGTTTTATGTAGCTCACATTCTGGAGGTCTGAGGGTATGGCACCAACTTGGCTCAGCTCTGGTGAAGTCTTTGGGTGCTGCACAGCATCGTGGTGGGAATGTGAAAGGGAAAGATCACAAGGTGAGATGGGAAGCCAGAGCAAACAAGGGCCCAGTCTTGCTCTTGTTTTTTTTTCAATTTACTTTTTAGTTGTAGTTGGACACAATACCTTTATTTATTTATTTATTTTTATATGGTGCTGAGGATCGAACCCAGAGCCTTGCACGTGATAGGCAAGCGCTCTACCACTGAGCCACGACTCCATTCCCCCAGTCTTGCTCTTTTAATAATTACTTTCTTTCAAGAACTAACTCAGGGTCCCATGAGAACTACCTTATTTCCTTCTGGGGGCACTGGCTCTGTGACCTAATGATCTCCTCCTGGCCCCACCTCTTAAAGGACCTTCTACTTCTTAGCATTGCTACACTGGGGACCACGTCTTCAACATGTGAACACTTGGGAGAAGACCACATAAAAACCACCACACTACTCAGTATTTAATAAAATTGAGATGGACTTTATTTATTTTTGAGTACCAGGGATTGAACACAGGGGTGCTTTACAACTAAGCCATTGTCCCAGCCCTTTAATTTTTTTTTTTTTTTTAATTTTGAGACAGGGACATGTTAAGTTGCTTAGGGCCTCTCTAAGTTGCTGAGGCTGGCTCTGAACAATGTCTTAGGGGTAATTTGCAACCTGCAAATCCAGACCCACCAGCTGAGGGACGTTATGCGACCTGAGCTAGATCAATTTGACCCTCTATATTGGGACTGGGTGTGACGATATGAAGGTGGAATAAAGACCAGAGCTTATTCGTTATAGCAGCAGAGTTGAGCTGTCCCTGTTCTCTAACCCACACACCCGGCACCCCGCCACGCTGCCTGGGTTCTGAGCCTGAGTCCCTAGCCTTCCCCTTGACTCTGAGATGCCAGTCATCCACAAAAAACATCCTTTTCCTGCTGGAGTTCCCAGAGTTGTTTTCTATTGCCTGTTGGATCCAACATCTATTTTATTTTATAAAGTCATAGGATGTCTGAGCTGTAAGAAATCTGAGAGTTCATCTAGTTCAACTCCTCACTTTATAGCTGAGGACAGGGAGCCCCAGAGGTTGAGGGTTTCACCCAAGGTCCCCTCACAGAGCTCATCCGTGAAAGAGCTTGAGATAAAGGTCTCCTTCCCTCAGGGGAGTGCAGACTGCTTTTTCTTTTCTTTTTTTCAAATCCCTTTTTAGTGCTGAGCGCCATCTCACTCTATAACTGCAGTATTTAATAGAGGACAGTGACTTCAAAATCCTGATCCCTCTCCCCGAAACAATTTTCTTTGTGTCATTTAAAGACTAGTTTTCAGAGCTAGTCCTTCCAGGGATTTGGCCTCTGGTAAAGACAGGCACCCGTTTCTCTCCTTATATGGAGCCTTGCTTCTTCCCAGCTACCTAACTGCATTCTAGGGCATGAAGTTGGTATTTGGAGAGGAAGTGGTTTGCTCTAGGAAAACATATGGGCTGGGGATCCGAGAGGGATTATTTTTCATTTCTAAGTCTGCTGTGTGCACTGGGGAGCACTTTTTTTTCTACTCACACCAAATGGTGCCTCTCTGCTCTGTATTTTCAGTGGCTTTAGGGCAGTCATAGCTCTTGTAACCACTGCCACCATAGCCTAAGGTCAGGCTGGGGCCAGGAAAGGAATTG